CTTTCTCTGAGGGCCTTGTCCTGCACTGGGTCTCCTGTTCCCTTGGACAAGCCAGAGCTCATGTTCTTCCTTCAGCAGATGGGTGTAGACCCCTTCCTGTGCCAGCGCCTCCATGGGCACGGGGGTCCCAGCCCAAAGATACATACTTCTTAACATTCCATAATACCAGCCGACTCCATATGGGCATATGAAGAAGTATGTAGGGTTGGGAGGGAGCTGTTCTTCTTTTGGCCATGCATCTATCCGCCAGCCCTTCTTGGTGCCAAGTCTTCTGCTGTCACCTCTCAGGGCTGGATGAGTCCCATCCGGGGGCAGGGAAGTATAGCCATCCATCGTATTGGTCTGTAGCTCATCTCTGTCACATCATGCTTCTAGTTATGACGGAGAGACAGGAGAGCAAATCCACTTGCTGGGTTGTAGAGGCCCAAGAGGCAGGGCCCACATGAACAGGCCCCCTGCATGGGGGGGGAAGGTCACTGGCCAGGATCACTATGTACCTACCTTTTCAGAGCTGCCTTCCAGCTGTCTTCCCAAGCTGGGTGGATGCCATCTCCAGCAGGCGCCAGGACAAGTGCTCCCAGTTCTCCCCCTGTTCTGGTGTCTGCCACAGGAGATTAATTCTGGACCCTGAAAAGATAAGGCAATGAGACAGCAATGATTTAAAGAGACTCAGCAGAGTGGTTTATCCCTTACCCCAGGGGTGGGCAAAATGCGGCCCATGGGACAGATGTGGCCCGCCAGCCCATTCTATCTGGCCCGCGGGGCCCCTAAAAAATTTAGAAAATTAATATTTATCTGCCCCTGGCTGCCTGTCATGCAGCCCTTGATGGCTTGCCAAAACTCAGTAAGCAACCCTCCGCCCGAAATAATTGCCTGCCTTACCCTGACCCTCCCTGCAGGAAGGAGCTGCGAACTGCCTGACTTGTACAGTGCCCCTGGCAGCTGGGCCATCCACCACCTTGAAGGGCCAAGTGCCGTCAGGGAGCGCAGCCCGGGATCATGTTTGGGGTTGAGAATAAGAGGGACTGAGGGCTATTGCATTACACTCTGCACTGACAAAATCATGTTGGAGATGCAGGGGCAAAGTGAGGACCGCTGGGCTTTAGCTCTGACTCTTGCATATCTCTGGCTGCAGGCAGGTCATGCCCTAGCCTGGGGTATGGGTTTAATCTGCAGAGGCTGCCCCATACGGGGAGCGGGTATGAGCTGGTGGTTGTGGCGGTTGCAGTGGCAGTGACTCCCAGTCTGTGGAACGGTGCCTGGAGCCTGACCCCACATGCTGTCTCTCAGGGAGGGTTTAAAGGGAGCCCTGCTCTGGGCTTGTCACAAGGCACTTGCCTCTAGGGAGTCTCTCTGCTCCAGTTCTGCCCATCACTCACCGGCGCTGTGTCCATTCCTCCTCCTTCCGTGCTCCTTCCCCTCTGCCTGCTGGAACATGAGGATGCACAAATCTGTGTCTGCGCCAAGCGGGATTTTGTGATACGGGATGCTCGATTGGCAGGTGTCATAGGAAGGCAGGGCCTTGTGGTGACCTGGTGCTAGGGCTGTGTTTGCGTAGGCACGTGTATGTATAAAGCAGGTGTTGCTGCTCTTTGCTGTACAGAATCGAGCCATTCAGATGTGCTTCATTGTCCCTGTAGTGCTGGCAGTTACAGAGGATTTTGCCTGACATTCAGAGGGAAGGGACCTGTAGTAAGAGGGTCCAAGTAATATCCCTGAAGCTGGACGTCTGCAGGGTGCAGCACAGTAAGGTGAAGTGAGAGACATAGTTAACCTTATTGGTCTGAAGTCAGGGTGAAGTCCCTGACAGGACTTGGCATGGGATTCATCATAGTCATTACCATCTCCCTTGCCCACCTCCATTAAAAGTAACCACCCCAAAGATCCCCTTGTGCTAAAACCTTCTCTAAACTAGCCTCATTTTCAAGAGAAGATGGCATGTTTTTCACCAACCACACTAAAAGCCCCAGTCCCCGGCATCTCCTCTCTGCTCAGGAACATTAATAATTTTGCAGCTCTAAATGCTATTGATCCCTTCCCAGTGGCAGGGTGGGCCAGGCGAGAGAGCCTGCATCTACAAGCACAGAAAGGGGGACTGTCTCCATCACCACCTCTGGGTGCTGCCAGGTCACCTCTGAAGCAAGTGGCACCATCTCTAGTTGCAGTCTGGGCTACTGTAAGGGCCATTACATTAACCGCGCAGTGACTGTGGCCTTCGGTGCCTAAACACAAGAGTGGGGAGATTCCCTTGGAGTCTGACTTTCTCTTGTAAGTATGGGAGGATTGGGGCAGGGCATGTGTCCTTGTGCTCAAAAGTCTGGGCATGAGGAATGACTGCTCATATAGAAGCGTGGGTTATGGGATCCGGGGAATGAAGAGCTAGGGGGGCTGCTTCAGGTCCCCTAGTCCATCTCCCTGCACCGAGACAGGGCCTAGTCTCCCTACACTGTCCCTGACTGCTATTCATCCTTGAAAACCTCCAGCAACTGGGCCTCCCATCCTCCATGGGTAATCCGCCCCAAGGCTTCCCTGCCTTGGGAGTGAGGTTTTCCCTGATAGCTAACCTGATTCTTCCTTGCTGCAAATTTAAACTGATTATTTCTTGTCTTATCCCCAGTGAATATGGCAAACAATTAGTCCCGGCCTCCTGAGAACAAGCTTTATGTGGTGGAAGTCTGTTCTCATGTCCCCCCTCACCTTCCCCACCATCTCCCCCCTCTCCGACCCCCATTTTAAACAAACCTGTTTCCACCTTCCCTTAGAGGTTGTTCCCCAAACCTTTTATTTCTGCCCTTCTGGAATGTATGCCCTTCTGTCTATCTCTTTCTGGAAATGTGGTTTTCAAAGCTGGACACTACTCACCGGCGCCACGGAGAGCAACCATGTTTCTCTTGCATATAACCATCCCACAGGGAGCTTTATTACATGAATCAACAGACGGCCCTGCCTTTGAAAGGCCCCTCCAGGAACCAGGCAAGGGAAACCCTCAAAGAAAGTGTCTTCCTAAGTAGGTTGGAACAGAAATGCCCATTTGCGGGGTGTTAGGAGACTGCTCTAGGTCTGTATAGACATGGTGCCACGATAGACATGGTGTCAAGAGGTGGTGCTGCATCGGGCTGCTCCCATGCCATTGCAACTGCGCTGGGCCCTGCAGTGGCATCCTTGGCCAGCCATCAGTCCCAGATAGATGTGAGGTGGCTTTAAGGATGGTCTCGCATGCCAGTTTCCCTCTAATTTAATACTAATTCTTGCCCCTTTGGGAGAGCAGCTCTAAACCCTCGAAGCACGTCATTAACTAATCAGGCTTCGCAATGCACCTGCCGTGCAGACGTAGGACTTGCCCAGCCCTGAAATGCTGCCACCTCGGGGCTGGCGTGTGGCAGCTGCTCAGGGGCATAGGGCAGCACCACGGGGTTGTTGGGAGTAGATGGTCTCTGAGAGAGCTGCAGGGAGAGAGGGGAGCAGTTGACCTGACAAACAGTGCCCGGAGGTGAGCTAGCAGCTCTGGACCAGCTTGTAATGGCCATCCCACCCATTCTCCAAAGGGGCCCCTCTGCCTTGCAGCTCCCCAGAGAGGGCGAGAGGGGTGTTTGGGCTCAGGGCTTCTGTTGTCATGGGCAGGGATTAAGGCCAGTCGAGATGGGAAGAGGTTCTGGTCCCGCAGCAGCAGCGGAGAGGAGTGGCTGTGCCGCCCCGGGGAGCAGAGGGGAGCCCCTTCCCCAGCTCTCAGCTGCACCCTCCCAGCTTTCCTCCCTCTTTGTGTCTCCTCATGTAATGGAGACTGAGCTCTAGATCAAGGAGAGGTGGACCTGTACATGGCTCTGCTGGCACCCCTCATCTTGACCCCTCACCCAGACTCCTGCCATCCCATCCCTGGACAGATGTCCTTGGCCCCCTGCTAGCCCAGCTCTGAGCATCTTGGGGAATCCTGTCCACCTAGCTGTTTTCGCAAGGCAGAGGCCGGACTTCCCCAGCACTTGGCTGAGGCCAAGGAATTTGCTTGGCTGCCATGAACAGCGTCAGGGGAAGGGGCTGGTGCCCTGCACCATCACATCTCTCCATCCCCAAAGGAGAACAGGACAAAAGCGTCGACTCGGCAGAACCAGCCCCTTGCTTCCCTAATGCACAGAGCAAGCGAAATCCAAGCCTGCGATCACACGGGGAGAGAGGGAGTGTGAGTCTCAGAGGGGCCTGGCAGTGGCTGAATCTCTGAAACAACCCCTTCCCCAGGTGCGGGAAGGGCTCAGGGGCTTTGAGCCACAGACTCACCCCCACTTCATACATTCAGGTCCCTTGGACCCAAATAACTGGGTCATTGCCCTAGCATCACCTTCCCTCCTTGCTGCCGTGTAACCCAGAGACCGAGGAGATGACCTTTGTGCTACATCATGTAGGGATCCTGGTTTTCCCTGATAAAAAAAAATCCCCAATTTTCAGATTAAAAAAGTAATCTCAAATCCATATTTTTCTGTGATTAATATGAAATCCCACTAAGATATAGATATAGATATAGTGGCATTTCACTTTGATCACGGAAAAATGTGGATTTTACTTTTTTAAATCCAAAAAGTGGGGATTTATTTTTTTGTCAGGGAAAACCAGGATCCCTGCATATCTGTCTAAAAGGGAGGGGTCTGCTCAGCACACCCAGCTCATCCCTGT